GCCTGCACGAGCTTCTCCTTGGCCAAGTAGTCCGAACAGAGGAAGCCTACCGATGCCCAAGATAGCATCGTTTTCTGAATCTCAGGGTTCAGCTCGCCTCGGGGTCCTGGATGGCGCCCCTCCAAGCAGTGGGAAAGGGCCACCCCTCAGGGTTATGGACCACAAAGTAGTCCCGCTTCCAGGCGGGGATCTTATTCGGCAGCTTGTACAAGAGCTTGTAGCCGCGATGGGGAGAAAGGTAGTAAAAGCGCCTCTCTGGCGGAACCCCAGGAGCAACATTCTTTATACAAAGGATAGAGGTGAAAATGTCAACGTCCAAAGGGAGGCAGTACTCGTGGCATAGGGATATAGTCCCAATCATGTTTCGAACAGCGTTGGGGTGAAGTTGGTCAATAGTGACGTTGAAGTGGTTCAGCACCTCCACTATCAAGGGGTGCAGGGGAAGACGCAGGCCAGCCTCAAGCTGTTCCTGRAARATCACTATGTCATTGGGACCATGCTCCCAAGGAAAGTTGCCAGTAGGGAGGTTGTAAACCCGGTCCCCAGGAAGGCGAAAGTAGCATATCAGAGACTTGAGTCTCTTTGCTGTCATTAAGGAAGGGCCAAAGGTATCAGGCTCCCTCCCCCTAGAAGTGGACGTCAAGTCGCCAGAGGCCTCCCGAGCCTCCGGGATATGCTCCCAGGCTCCCCCCGAGCCCGAGGGAGCATCGTCACCTCGGCTATCGCCCCTGTGGTAGGTATGGCGTGGGTACCCAGACATGGCTGACGGCGATTGGGATTCACCAATAGACGGAACGGAGCGGACTGAGAAACTCGAGTAGACTAAGCAAAGTACGCGACCTCAAAGCCCAAAGCAAGATGGCGTGGACGGAGATAGGGCCGATGGGGCCCCCCATTTATAGCCCTCGGCCTCTCAAACCGATGGTCCGGATCAAAGCAGATCCAACGGTCAACGGGCACCCTGACCGCACGTCTTCTGAAAAATGAAGACGATTGGCGGCACGTCTTCCACAATTAAGGTAGTCGCAGCCGCACGACATTCGGAATTAAAGACCACCTCAACAAGTTTTCAGAATCCGAAGTCAGAGAAGTCAGAAGATCTCTTGATTTTCGCAAATGCATTTATTGAAGACAGTCAATCAAGTTTGAATTTTGGTCAAATCAGTCCATCGAGCTTCATAAACTCCCCGCGCTAAGGCGACACTCTTAGCCCGAGGAGTGGGGAGCAATTGATGAAGGATAATTTGACTTGACCTATGAAACGACGACACGTGGACGCTGACTCAGTGTAAGCGACAGCTCAGCATTGTGGTCCAGTACGGCTAAGTGATAGGCCCATAAAGCAGCTCGCTACATGGTAGCGGGGTAAAGGAGGGGCTCGCCACAATGCGGGCTCCGGGTCCCCTGAGCTACCTCAAGGGATATTCCGAGGAAAACTTTAACTTGCGAGCTAAGAAAGTCGGCTCGCCTGAGCTCTCGAACAAGGCAAGTCATCCGAGGACCAATTCTACTAAGGGTACTTCTGAAGTATTCGAAGCTCGTTGCAAAGTAGCTCGCGAATGAGCCGCACGAGCATTCTCCAGGAAGCTTCTATTTAATAAGTCGTACCAGTCAGACTAGGCCACGTCCATAACTGACGGCGCGGTCCCTGTCCTTTCGATAGTCTGCGCCCACGTCTCTCAGTAGGCGGAGGCGTGCCTGTCACTTTGGGGATGTGTCACTCGCCCGAGTAAGGAATACGTCCCAACGGCCACCTGCTCAGCCCTGGCAGGTAACGGCTGTGGCAGGGACCCAGTGGCGGTTATGCCCGATCTCGCAAGAGCGTTCCTATAAAAGCCCTCAGGGCAGAGGAGAAACTTCTTCTTGAGACCTCTAACCTCTCGAATATAGTGATAAAGCGCGACCTCCACTCTTAGCTTTCATTTCTCTATTTACTCCCCATACACAGTACTAACTTAAGCATCAGAGTATTCCCACCGGGCAAGTCCCCGAGAATCCTTCCTTTCATCTTCTCAGGTGCCGCGTATTGCCGACAAGGAGCCAGCCAGCCGTTAGTTAGGAGTGCCCGGATCGCACCGCATCAAAACACATGTTCCATCAACACATGAGAGAACAAGGGCAAAGTTATCTTTCATGCCCAAAACGGACTTTAATTGATTAAACCCCACTCTCATCATTTTCTTTCTTCTTCTTCCCTGTCTTCCCCAATGGCTCTCTCTTCTCAAGGCTGACCGGTAAGTTTGTTTTCTTTTTTTCATTTTGTATTCATTTTCGCCTTGAAAAATCCCTGGAAGCTTTCTATGTTTTACTATGTATTTGGTATAGCTTCCGTTTACTATGAAAGTGCACCAAAAGGTGGATGAAAAAAAAAAAGTGTAGGAGATCCAGATCAGAAAAAGAAAAACAGGTAAACAGCCAAGAGTGGACTCTTTCCGGTGTCCCTCTTGTATTGTATTGTATTGTATGATTTGAAGTACAAACAAGCTAGGCAATATCCACTACTAAAAATAAACAAATAAATAAAGAACGGGAACCCGGTTCAAGTTATGCGTCTCATGCGTGCGCCCGAGACAGAATGATCAGACAACCGACTCCAAGATCGTTTTAGAAACCCGGTTCAATTCTAACCTACCTGATGAGAACCGAACCGAGTCCCCCGATCTTAGAACTCTCTCGCCGAGTCGAGCTGACTCGCTCACCATCAATCTCCTTTCCACCGTTTCCGGCCTCACCCCCGCTTCGGAATCTTTCGTCGTCCCTATCCTGTCCTTCACCTCCCTAATCAAGCCCCATAATAGTTCTGCCGCGGTGGTCTTGTTATTTAAGAACTGCAGTGATAACCGTTCTTTGCAATTCTCCATTCTCCTAAGAACACAGACTAGTTCCACCGACTCCCCGAAACTCAGACTGCTCAGTCTCTCTCTAAGCTCATAGATTCGGAGCGTAATCTCCTTCTGGGCCGACTGGTAATCATCAGCTATCAGCTTCATCACCTCGTAGACCAACTTGTTGCTCTGAGCGTGCACTGGATCGGGTGCTTTGCACATTTCTTCCACCGCTCCCACGAAAGCATCTATTTCTTTTATCAAATCTCCATTCAGAAGCGATGACACCTTCTCTTCTTCTTCTTCCGATACATCCTTCTCACCGACGCCGAGCGTGGAAGAAGAAAGAAAAAATCCACCCAAAATCCTACAAGTGAATATAAGTTGCTCTAGAACCCTTGCATACCATCTTACCCACGACGACAATTCCCACGTCTCGGAATTAGCATAGTCCCGGAAGTTGGAGAGGTTGAGATAGTTTCGGCCGCCCGAAGAAGGGTAGATGGAAAGCTGGTCTTGGAGGATGAAGGTGCCCCGTCTGATGATGTTATGAACGGTTATGAGGCACTTGAGGGCCACAGAGGAATTGTGAGTATTCTGTAGGCGGTCCATTAAAGTTATGATGCAGAGGGAGGCGGTAGGTCGGGAGCTGTGGCCGAAGGCAAGAACGGCGGCGATGTGCTTCTCATGCGGTGGGCTTGATGGCTCGTGTGTTGTGGCTCGGAGGACAGCGAGATGTAGAGCCGTCGTGTTTGGCTTGGACAGCAGAGCTGCTTTGCTTATAGATGCCTTATCTTTGAGAGCGCCTACGATATCTCTTAGCTTCGTTCGCCGCCCCATCTTCGCTCTGATTCAACAGACACTCCCCTCGGCCCTCAGGCAGATAGCAGTAGGGAAGGGAAGACTTGCGGAGAGAGAGAGAGAGAGAGTCGACGAGATTGTATGATTGACCTCATTTATTTCGATCAGGATGTAGTTCCATTATTATTGGTGCCTCCTAAAAATTATTAACTATCAACGGGGAAAGTCGCTTTTTAGACGGGTCGTGTAGAAACCTTACGGAATACGGATGGTAATTGGCAACACAGCATGAATGGTGATTGGTGGATAGCTGATAGCAGACCTTCCTCCTCTTGTGTTAGGTCGGCCACTTGATAACAGCTGAATTGGCAGAACTACTGAATGATTTATTGTGGGGCCGTTTGGCAATTGTTTTTAAGAAGATCTTCTTGTAGCTCTGACAGCCAATAGACTCGTTGAGCTTTTGATATAAGATCTGGGCAGATCGACGATCGTTTGGTAAATGTACATCTTTTTGTGCATCGTTTCGGGTCTTTCTGTGAGAGATTAAAACGCGGAAGACACGGGAAGCTTCATTTAGAGCTTCCTTCCCACGGCTTTTTGACACCCCGTCTTTTGGGGGTGAGATCTTCCACATGCTAAACGGGAATAGACCAATTTTCAGTCTTCCCAGCTTGTAAGCAGCCGAAAGACCGTGTGAAAAGATGTGACAAAATGATTTATTGTCAGCCCGTTTGGCAAGTCTTTCTGAGAAGATCTTCTTGCAGCTCTGACAGTCAATAGACACATTGAGCTTTTGACATAAGATCTAGGCAGCCCGAAGACCGTTTGGTAGACACACATCTTTTCGTGCATCGTTTCGAGTCTTTCCACGCAAGATTAAAACGCAAAAGACGTGGGAAGCTTCATTTAGAGCTTCTCGAAATCAGCCCAAAATAGACTTCCCACATCTTTTCGGCGCCCCATTTTTTGGTGGTGAAATCTTCCGCATACCAAACGAAAATAGACTGATTTTCGGTCTTCTTAACTTTTAAGCAGCCAAAAGAACTCACGAAAAGATACACCAAGGGCCTGCTTTATTTGCTTTTAATGAACTAAACTAATCGTTCAGAAGAGAAGAAGAAAGTTATTTTCAGTCCAGCCATTTCAATTTTCAAAGCACACTTATTAATTTATACTAAAAGGGGTGGGT